TATGCTCTGCTGCATGTGAACTGGTCTTGTGGCCTTGACCTTGTGCTCGGAATTTGTCTGGTATCCTTGAGATCCACCCTGAGCTTGCTTTGCTTTGCTTTGTTTTGCTTGACTGGTCTTGTGACCCCTTGCTCTCCCCACTTTGCCTATGGGGGTGTGTCAGATGATTATATTACTGATGCATATATTTAGGCTGTAGTGGGGTAGCCCATAGGGGGTACAACCCAATTAGGGTTGGTACTTGTACTTGTTTCATTTCATAGTGCACTCATTCCTCGCCTCTATCTCAACAATAAGCACCGGCGCTTATAAAAATCCTCAATTATAAGCGCACCCCCTAAAAAAACGTGTTTTTTTATAACCCCAGGGGCGCTTCTATTCCAGGGCTGACGTTAATAACCATAAATCTTGTCTGGCCAGACAGACAGTTCAATGACAGGCAGATCCCACAAACCTGGGCGCTTGGGGAATTTGTAGTTTAGAAATGAATGATGGCATGGCATTGTGCAATGTGCTTGCTTTTCTGCATGGAGTGCGTTGAAAGAATGTTGAGGCTGTGAGCGGTAAATGAAACAATTTTGAAGGTTAATTTTTCTTTGCTTCAATTCTTATGCTACGATACAGAAATTGAGTTTCAAATAAAATGCTCAAACAGAAGTCCGAATATATACGTATAAGCTTTTAGAGAGTTGAAGTAAGGAGATGCTGATTGTGGAGAGGAAGCTGGCTATATTGTGACCTGAATAGTGGCGTCGCCAGGTGACCTGATCCTTAGGACACGTCACCTGAAGCGGATCGGCCGATCGAGCCCAAGCTCGGTAGAGATCGGTGCCCATGACTGCACAGCAACGGCGCACCGATTACAGGTTACAGGTTCGGTATGGCAGGTTACGGGGTTATGGTAACCTAGCCTGCGACAACAGCAATGCTGTCGTGCGCAGAATCGCATTGAGAAACCTAGGGTATGCGATGACGAGCGAAAACATTCGAATTTGACTGTCACTTGTGGCGCGAAATAAATACCCTGCCACCCAATCTCACGCTCGATATTTTTACTTTGCTGTATCGATCAGGGCTCCCGTAGGTGACATGTTAGTGGGCACATTTTTACTGTATATGTCAAAATTAGAAGGAAAAAAGAGGAATGAACTAGCAGAAATAGGGATACAAATAGCAAACCCTAGAAGGGTTGTACTCGCTATAGAGCACCCCACTACAGGCTAGAACATAAGAATAATATTCTGACACACCCCCATAGCCAAAGTGGGGTGTAATCAGCAGAGCAGGCAAAGCAAAACAAGCTCAGGGTGGATCACAATGTCACCACACATTCTGAGCACAAGTTCAAGAAGAAATAGTTTAGAGTTCACAATTATAAGCAAAGCTAGTGGTAGTCACAACGGGCAAGTGAGGAGGAGGAGGGAGAGTGAGGGGAGAGGAGATAGGAGGCGACGGCTGAAGCTGCTGACACACGGGCAACAGGAGGCAGACTGGCACAGCGGCTACCGGACAGCGCCCGGACTACAGGAGTAACAGGCCCCGCGGCTCAAATAGCGGCGGACGGGCAACGGACCCACGGGCGGCTGGCACAGCTGGCTACGACTGGGCTACCGGGACAGCGCCCCGGACTACAGGTGCTGCGGACGACAAGCCGGCAGCCTCCGCTCAACCTCCCGCAAACAGTCCCACCCCCCTGATACACACCCACTGCTACACCGCTAGCTCTACTCCCACGCACCCCCCCTTAAACCCTAAACCCCAGTCTCCCACACAACCACCCCCCTCAGCGACAGCTGCAGCAGTGGGAGACGAAGGAGGAGGAGGAGCAAGGGAGGAAGGCACACCGGCCACCCCCATACCCGCCACCCCACAGCAAGCGGCCCCCTCAGGTCGCCACGACAGACGACGGGAAATGGCAGGGGGAAGGGGGGGGGGGGGGGGGGGGGGGGGGGGAAGCGGTGTGGTGAAAGGGGCCCACCACGGGCCTGGTAGGGTCGCAGGTAGGGAGACGGGGCCAGGGCCGCGTCGGAGGGCGGGGCCGCAACAAGGGGCGGGGCCGCGACGAGGGGCGGGGCCGCGACATAGGGCGGGGCCGCTTCGAGGGGTGGGGTCGCGACGCAGGGCGGGGCCGTGTCGAGGGGCGGGGCCGCGACGGTCGGGGCGGGGCCGCGACGTAGGGCGGGGCCGCTTCGAGGGGCGGGGCCGCGACGGTCGGGGCGGGGCCGTGACATAGGGCAGGGAAAATATGCCACGCGTAATCAACAAGGGTCTCGATAATATGTTTTGAAAAAAAAAAAAAAAAAAAAACGGGTACGGTGCCCGCAAAGGGTGTTTTCACGTGGTTGATATTGCGTTTCACGGAATCAGTCACAATCAACGGGGAAAAAAAAAACAAGAGGCGACGAAATCGTCTTAGGGTTGCGAAGCGTTTACGCATTTGTAAACACCAAATATACTGTACATAATACTGTAGTATAACAGTTAGTGTGCTTTATCTTGTCAGGTTTTGAAAAATGACTTCTGCAGGCATCGACCTCAAGACTTTTCCACTAATCACGGAAGCTTAACCAACTGTACTAACAATACTATTCATCAGCCAATTGGCAAAATTTGTAAATAATATTTGCGACGAATCTGACACCTCTTTAGAGTTTGTTCACCCCTCTTCTTCTCCCTCGCTAGTTGAGCTTCCCTCAAGTTTGGCTCTACCTACTAGTTCGAGTTCCTACTAAGGTGAGAACTGTCGAGAGTAAAAGGAATTAAGTTGAAAGGTGGGGCCTAGGCTTAGGAGCCTAGGCCCGAACTTAGGTGTCGAGTAGGTTTCCCTAGGCGAGGTATCGAGTGAGTTGGAAGAGAGAAATTGGAGAATGAGGTGCTTCACTATAGTTTTGAAGTACATATAGCAAAGGAAACACATAAGGTGCACCACCAATACAAAGTTTAAATAACTACACTACTGCTAGAACTACATGCAGTTATAATAAATATAATTTTGACATCCCCCCGTAACTGCATGCAGGAATAGCTAAGTGCAGAGCACAACCTGCAGAGGTACACCAACGAACAATAAAACAAGCAACAGCAGGTACACCCCCTCCATCTCCTCACCCTCCCCCTTCCCCTCCCCCACACTGCTGCAGAAGCAGCAGAGAAAGGGGGAAGAGAGGAGAGGTGGAGGGACGGCTGCTTGTTGCCTCACACCCGCCACCCCGATACCACTCCCCCTGCTCCCCCACATCCTCACACCCTCCTCCCCCAGCGGCAGCTGCAGCGGTGGGACTGAAAGAAGGAGGAGGGGAAGGGAGAGAGGTGACGCCACACTCCAACACCCTCCACCCCCATACCCTCCTCCCCACGGCTGCAGGGAGGCAAAGGAAGAAGGGGGGTGGGAAGGAAGAAAGCCGCAGAGCGGCGAAGAGGTGTCGGTGCAGATGGGTCAGGGGCGGCTTCAGGGAGTGCAGGGGCGGAAAGAAGGCCCGTCGCGGGCCAGTGCCACGGGGCGCACGACGGGTAGAATAAAAGGGCCCGATCGTGTGCCTCGGGGCACACGACGAGCAGGGCACCATCGTGTGCCACGGGGCGCACGATGGGCAGTTGAAGGGCACCGTCACGTGCCACGGGGCGCGCGACGGGCAGGGAAGGAGTCACACGCCCGTGGGCGGGACAAGGTAAAAATAAAATCGTCACGCGCCCTAGGCGCGCGACCGGAAAATATTAGCAGCGGAAGTGTAAAGCGGGCCCACAGGCCAGGACGAACTCAGCTCTGATACCATGTCGAGAGTAAAAGGAATTAAGTTGAAAGGTGGGGCCTAGGCTTAGGAGCCTAGGCCCGAACTTAGGTGTCGAGTAGGTTTCCCTAGGCGAGGTATCGAGTGAGTTGGAAGAGAGAAATTGGAGAATGAGGTGCTTCACTATAGTTTTGAAGTACATATAGCAAAGGAAACACATAAGGTGCACCACCAATACAAAGTTTAAATAACTACACTACTGCTAGAACTACATGCAGTTATAATAAATATAATTTTGACAAGAACTTCTTTAACCCATCAAGTAGATTAAGTTACGCGATTACGAGCTAGTCTAATGTTGGCCTAAGGCATATTAGTCTAGGTCGTATTGGTAGCTTTTAAAGGATGAAAATCGTTAAAGCTTAGGTTGTAAACTTGCTGCAAAGATTTTAGCTTCAGGTTTTCCATAAGCCTGCATCTGTTTTTTTCTGTTTTTCATCGACTAACATCTCCTAATCTCGTGTCTTAACTGTTTAGAAGGGATGCGGGTTGTTTAAGCTAAGGGTAGAGGCCCTTTGTCTAGACTTCACCGTTTTTCCTTGCCTTTCTATGGCCCTATTCTTTGTCTCTTACTGTCAGAGGTCCACTGGTGATCCCCTATTGATCCTAGGGAAGGGTTACAGGCATGTTGGCCTGGGGGGTTATGGGCGCACTGACCCGCTACTTAACAAGCCCTTTTATCCCAATGGTCTAGTGGTTGGGATTCTGACATGATGTCAAAGCGAAGGTCTTGGGTTCGAATCCCACTGTGTGCACTTTGGGCATCCCAGTGCGGGGGGGTGTCAGAGGTCCACTGGTGATCCCCTATTGATCCTAAGGAAGGGTTACAGGCATGTTGGCCTGGGGGGTTATGGGCGCACTGACCCGCTACTTAACAAGCCCTTTTATCCCAATGGTCTAGTGGTTGGGATTCTGACACTTACTGCATATCTAGCATCTATTTCTATTGTTCTTCATCGTTTCTGCCTTTCGTCTCTACGTCGTATGCATATTTTCACTTTTTGTTGTTCCTAGATCTAGAACCGTCATATCCTCCTATTTGACGCGAAATCGCTTTAGGCCTAATCTTTCTGTCGGTTTATTCGTTATCTTTCATAATCTCATTGCTTTTCTTGCTCGTATGGCGTCTCTCTCCTTGTCCAACTTTCTCGCTCGCCCCCCTCCGCCTTGTCCGCTCACCTCTTTCCTTTGTCCGCCTCAATTTGTATCTTCTTACTCAAGTTTTACTTCAACACTTCTTCCCTCTCTCGTTCGTTCACTCTCCCTCTCTCGTTCTCTCTCTCCCGTTCTCTCTCTCTCTCTCTCGTTCTCTCTCTCTCTCTCTCTCTCTCTCTCTCTCTCTCTCTCGTTCTCTCTCTCGTTCTCTCTCTCTTTCTCTCTCTCTCTTTCTCTCTCTCCCGTTCTCTCTCTCTCGTTCTCTCTCTCTTTCTCTCTCTCTCTCTTCTCTCTCTCCCGTTCTCTCTCTCTCGTTCTCTCTCTTTCGTTCTCTCTCTCTAGTTCTCGCTCTCTCGTTCTCGCTCACTCGTTCTCTCTCTCTCCCTCTTGTTCTCACTCTCTTTCGTTCTCTCTCACGTCATCTCTCTCTCGTTCTCTCTCTTTCATTCTCTCTCTCTCTCTCTCTCTCTCTCTCTCTCTCTCTCTCTCTCTCTCTCTCTCTCTCTCTCGTTCCCTCTCTCGTTCCCTTTGTCTCGTTCCCTCTCACTCGTACCCTCTCTCTCGTTCCCTGTCGCACGCTCCCTCTCTCTCGTTCCCCCCCCCTCTCTCTCCCTCGCTATAGGTAGCAGTAGATTAATATCTGGTTTATAAGTCGTGTGTTATTGATTCCAACTTTATGTACCGATGTTCAAGCGTGTATTTGCTGGTTGTTATGTGTTTCTTTTTTCGTTTTTTTTTCCTACATACTCTCATTATTGCTTCAGTCATTTCGTCGTTCTTTGTTGCATATTTTCTGTCTTTCTTTTCTGTGCCCCCATCCCTATTATCGTCTCCTGTTTTCATCTGTTATCTACTACAATGTCCCCCCTATTATATGCCTACTCATTTTCATACTTCCGTGGACTTTGTATATTAACTTTTGTTTTACTTCTTTACTTGGAACGTATCAGTTGCTTTATGAATTTATGCCTTCATTTGTATCGTGACATTTCAACATCTAGATATTGGTTTACGACGTCGTTTAGGTCGTGTGCATTTCCTTGCTATCTGTGTTCAATAAGCCAGCTTGTGGAGTTGCTTTTCAAAGTTGGCATCAATATCTCCCTCCTTTCCCCCCCTCCCTTCTCTTTTCACCCTTTCTGTTTCTCCCTTTCCTCCCCCCCAAGGCTTTGGTGTACATTTCGGGAAGGCATGTTCAATTTTAGAAGTCGGAAGATAGCAGTTGTGGTGCTTGTTTGTATGGTATTGTATTGTATTGTATTGTATTGATGTTTGATTGTTTTTACAGTTTGTGCATTGAGCTTTTGTGTTTGCGTGAATCTGTGTGATCTTGTATATGCATTTGTATGTGTGTATGTGTGTGGTGTGGTTGTATGCATTCATTCATATCCATTGCAATAACAATGCATGTCTGTGATTTTTAAAAAGGAAGCTGAGGTCTATCATTTCACAAAAGGTTCATTGGCACACTTAGTGACTCGTGTGCGACCACTTCGAACTGGATTTGATAGAGTTGACTTCGTTTTTTTACTTCACAGATTGTGTTGTTTCATGTTGTAGTTGATTATTAAAAAACTAAGCTATTGACCTCCCCCCCATGCTAGGCAGGGGATGCGGTAGCTTAGCTTTTGGGAAATTAACTATCACGCATTTTTATCCATTTACCATCATGCACGCGTGCGTTTTTATATTCCACATTATACGTTATGCATACTAAAGCATTCTCCATGCATAAGCATCTATTCCACTTGTTTCATTACATTCATATAAGCATGCGTGTCGAATTCATGACTCAAGTGTCAGAACATTATAGCTTACTTATTTGTGTAGGCTATAGTGGGGTATCCCATACGGGGTACAACCCAATTAGGGTTTCCTATTTGTACTCACTTCGTTCATAGTCATTTCATTCTCGTTCTATTCCTCTCATGGTATCGAGCAGGTTCCCCTGTGGGAACTGTGCTTAGGGCCCACCACTACTTCGAACTTTTTTTTTTACCCGGAGTGCGCTCCGGGCTCTCTCTCTTACCTCTGTCGACCGGCCCTTAGCCGCCCGTGCGCCGCCCGTTCAGGCCTCACGCCGCCAGCGCGCCGCCCTAGACGCTAGCGCGCCGCCCGTCCCGGCTCCGTGCAGCCCGCGCGCCGCCCTTAGCAGCCCGCGCGCCGCCCAAAGCAGCCCGCGCGCCGCCCTAAGCAGCCCGCGCGCCGCTCGCCGCCCCAGGCCGCCCACGCGCCGTCCGCGCGCCGCCCTTAGCCGCCCGCGCGCCGCCCGCCAGGCCCCAGGCCACCCACGCTCCGCCCGCGCGCCGCCCTTAAACGCCCACATGCCGCCCGTGCGCCGCCCTTAGCCGCCCGAAGCGCAGCCCGTGAGCCGCCTGTGAGCCGCCCGTGAGCCGCCCGTGCGCCGCCCGTAGCCGCCCGAAGCGCCGCCCTTGAGCCGCCCGTGAACCGCCCGTGAGCCGCCTGTGCGCCGCCCGTGAACCGCCCGTCCCGGCCCCAAGCCACCCGTGAGCCGCCCACCCCGGTCCCGCTCCCAGCCGCCCTCGCGCCACGCTGTCCCGGCCCTTCGACGCCCGAGCCGCCCGTGCCACCCGCGTCACCCGAGACGCCCGAGCCGCCCGTGCCACCTGTGTCACCCGAGCCGCCCGAGCCGCCTACGCAGCTGAGGAGCCGAGCTGCCCGAGCCACCTTTGCCGCCCGAGCCGCCCGAGCCTCCTGTACCGCCGAGCGCCCGAGCCGCCCGAGCCGCCCGAGCCGCCCGAGCCGCCTGAGGAGCTGAGCTGCTGGTCCTGTGGGGCTGCTGTTGTTACTGGGCCGGCAGAGCTGCTGTGTTACCGTGTTGCAGTGCTGCTGAGCTGCCCGACCCGTCCTGTCTGGTGAGCACAGCTCCACTGCTACTGCGTACCCCTTCCCGCACTGCTTGCACTACTAGTCTGTCGTCATGGCTACCCCTAGTGTCCTAGCTTTTGACGGTGAGGGTCGCGCCATTGACTTTGAGGTCTGGGTCGACGACCTGCAGCTGTTCTTACAGTGCGATAGGGCAGACGGTCTTTCTCTCTTTGACCTCACCTCTGGCGCCGTCTCTGCCCCTGCTGCTGATGCTGACGCCACTGTTCGCTCACAGTGGGCCACGCGCGATGCTGCTGCACGTCTTACTGTGCGTCGCCACCTGCCTACCGCTGAGCGCGCGCACTTTAGCCAGTACAAGAGTGCCCAGACCTTGTACGACGCTGTAGTTGCGCGCTACTCCTCCCCTGCCACTGCTGCACTGAGTCGCCTCATGCTCCCCTTCCTCTTCCCTGACCTTGCCGCCTTTCCCACTGTCGCTGATCTCATTACGCACCTCCGCACTAGTGACACTCGCTACCGCGCTGCGCTTCCTGCTGACTTCTGCGCCAAGAACCCCCCCCCCATGTACATCACTCTCTACTTTTTAGTCACTCGCCTCCCTGACTCCCTTCGTGTAGTCCGGGACCACTTCCTCGCGGTCTGTCCCACCACCCTCACAGTCGACAGCCTCGAGAAGGCCCTCCTAGCGGCGGAGAAGAGCATAGTCGCTGTAGGAGCCTCTCGAGGTGACCCCCGCGCCCCCATTTTTTAGGGGTGTTCTCCTTCCCCTCTCCTGCCCTCTGTTGCCTCTGCCGCTGCGGCCGACCTCGTTGGTCTTGAATCAGTCGGCGCGGCGTCTGCCCCTAGCGGGATGTGGAGAATAGAGCGAGAATGAATGAACTATGAGTGAAGTGAGTACAAATAGCAAAACCCTAATTGGGTTGTACCCCCTATGGTATACCCCACTGTAGCCTACACAACAGCATAAGCTACATATATGTTCTGACACACCCCCATAGGCAAAGTGGGGGAGAAAAAGGGGTCACAAGACCAGTCAAGCAAAGCAAAGCAAAGCTCAGGGTGGATCACAAAGTCACCACACAGTCCGAGCACAAGAGCAAGGCCACAAGGCCAGTTCACATGCAGGAGTACACACATATATATATAAAGCTAGACAAGCAAGAGCAGGTATATATATGTGACAGTACAAGTAAAGTCAAGAGGAGAGCAAGTGAGGCAAGACAGGCACAAGACCCAGCTAGGTGCAGAAGCGCTGATGGTCACAAGGTGCGAGTGCCTTGGTGAACACATCAGCAGTGTTGGCCTCAGAGGCCACGTACGCAAGCCGCAACTGTCCACGCTGCTGTAGCTCACGAGCAAGGAAGTAGCGAAGAGCAATGTGCTTCGTTCTGTGCTCCAGACGCTGCTCTCGACACAAGGCCAGCATGGCCTTTGTCACCGCATATGCAAGGGATGCATATGCAATAACAGTAGAGTGCGGTGCTGTGAAGCAGTATAGCAAATAGCTAAGAATGCATTGAGGTAGATAGATAAGAAGTAGTGTAGGAGGTGTAGCCAGTAGCGAAGTGTCGCTTGCAAAGGGGTGCAAAAAGGGGGAAATATGTGGGAGCGGTTGGGATGAAGGGGGAAAGGCACCGAAGGGCGAAATGTGGGATTCGAACAAATCCCAACCTCGAGCCGCACATTGGAAATGTGCAAGCCGAGGTTGGGTAAGGTCACCCACGCCCACTCACTCGATGCCTATTGTTCGGTATTCTTTCATACTAGTGCAGAGCGGCTATCCTAGCTACTACACGCGGTGGCACAGCACTAAGAAGGAACCGGTGCGGTGGGGGAGTGATTACGTACATACCGAACAATAGGCATCGAGTCGCAGGCATGGATAAATATGAGCTGCGTTGGGGTAGGGTGTTTAGTCGCCGGGAGGAGGAACGAGCACGAGGTGAGCCGTCACGCGAGCGCGGGCGATCTCTGGAGCGCTCGCCGCGAAGGCCGGCATTTCGCGCAGATAGAGTCCCCGTCGCTGGGGATCGACGGGCGGAAGGGAGGCCTAGCGTGGCAGCGGGTGGAGAAGGAGACGCCGCAAGCGCGGACGGCGACGTGTGGCGAAGAGGGCATGATCGCGGAGATGGATACGGGAGCGGAGACCGGCGCGCTGTGGGAGTGTTCCGCTCGCCGGAAGAGCACGGGCGCCGCCGTGATGAGAGGGGCCGTTGGCCGGGCGTCGAGCGATTCGACGCCAACCGAGGAGGGGAGGCCGCAGAAGAGGAAGAGGCAGAGGAGGACGCAGCGAACCTGGAACGGGCGGTCGAAGACGCCGACGGAGAAGATGACGGCGAGGAACCCGCGGCTGGGATCGGAAACGCCGAGCCGGAAGGGGCATACGTTGCCGGGGGCGCAAGCCAGGCAGGGGCAGAAGGATCGCGGTCGGGACGGTCGGAATCACGCGACCACGACGCAAGCCGCCAGGAGGAGCATTACGCGGAGAGGTCACATCAGCAGGAGCGGCGGGACTGGGGCGTGCATGCCGGCGCTGTGGGGACGCAAGGAGAACGCGGCAAAAGGGAGGAAGAGGGACCGCGCGCGTGAGGGGAAGGATCGCGGCGCCGGGAGCGGCCTTCTGTTGACCCCCGCGCACTCGACTGGCGCCAGGCTCAAGGGGGCCGGGGCGAAGACGGCGAACGATCGCCGGACAGGCAGCTGATGCATAAGGGAGGATGGGAGGGCGAGCCACGCGCAGCCAGCCACCACTGGCGGCGGGAAGAAGGACGCGAGGAGGGGCCCAGCTCATCAGAGAGGCGCGGCCAGCGGCAAGAAGGGCGCGGCGGGGAGGCACGGACGTCAGGCCCGCAAGCGCAATGGGAAAGGAGGGTGAGCAGCGGGTTCCGCTCGCCTCTCGCCCGGCAGCAGCGGGGAAGAGAAGGCGGCGGAGATAGGCGCTCGCCCGGAGATCGTCGGCAGCAAGGAAGGGGAGAAGCATGGGAACCGTCGCCAGAGAAGCAGCGGCAGCGAGAGACGAGCACGGCGAGATGGAGAGAGACACGAGTCTCGCCGGCACGAACGCGAGGGCGTGCGTGGGAGGAGAGGGGCCCGAGAGAAAGGCACGGTGACTCGGGCTGGAATCGGCGGGAGAGCAGAGCTGGAGGGGGGAGCTTAGCATATGGCGCTGAGCGAGCCCGAGAGGCCAGGGAAGGCATGGAGAGGGCCAAGGAGAGAAGGATTGGGGAAGAGCGGCTGGAAGGGGCCAGGGAATCGCGGGGAGAAGGGTGGGGAAGTACAGCCAGCGCAACGCGGGTGGAAGTGCCGGCGAGGTTCTCGGGGGACCAAAGGGTGGGGCCGGCCCTCAAGAATTACTTGATGCAGGTGGGGAACGTGAGATACCGCTGTGACAGGCAAGGCATGGACCCAATAGACTTCTTCTTGAGCCTGCCCAACACTCTGGAGGGAGAGGCGGAGACCCTGTACCGCATGAGGATGGACGAGCTGCTGTGGAGGGCAGGGAGGTACGGGGAGGATCCCACCGAGGCATTTCTGGAGCGGCTTCAGCGTCAATTCCCGGGACACACGGCGGAGCGCGTGAGGGAGTTTCAGGAGTTCAGGAGGGGACGGCCAGAATCCCTACTGACCTACTACAACCGACTGATAAACTTGGCGGAGGATGTGAAATGTTCGGACAGCAGCCTCCTCATCAGTAAGTTTCTTGGAGGCCTGGACGAAACACTGGGGGGAGGACTGAGGATGAAGGTGTACGAGTTAGGGGCGGATGCGGCACTAGAGGAGGTGTTTGACCTGGCGGAAAGGGTGGAGCTGGCACAAAGGAGGTATGAGGTCTACCTGCCGAGGCCGACAGAGAAGAGCCGCAGACCGACATGGGCGGCGGCTATGATACCAGAGGAGCGGGGGAGGGTGGACCCACACGGGGAAGAGAGAGCCGACGCGCGCACCTGCTACCGGTGTGGACAGATGGGGCACCTCCGCAGAGAGTGCAAAAACTGTGATGGATGTGGGAAGCCCGGGCACCGGAAACGAGAATGTCCGGATGCGGCGAAGTGTGAAATCTGCGGGAAGAAGGGGCACGAGGCCAAAGAGTGTTACCAGCGGGAGGGAGGGACAAGGAGGAAACCAGCAGGCTGCAGTCTCAACTGCAGGCCATGGGGTCAGGGTGGGGAGCGGAGGCGGGGATGTACGCCAGGGACGAGGAGGGAGAAGGGGTGGAGCCGGACGTGCAGTGTGCCCTCATGGCCTGGAGAGGCAGGGAACAGGTGGGGCTGCGTAGCGGGGGGAAGGATGGCAGGCAGGAGCATAGCCGGAAGCCACGTGAGCAGGGGTCCAGGCCAGACGCGCCAGGAGGAGAGAAGACCCCAGCCCGCCACCCGCAGGAAAGACTCGCGTGCCAGACCTCGGTGCTGCTCGTGGAAGCAGGAGCGGTGGAAGTGGGGGGGGTGAAGGTAAAAACGGCGATCATTGACACAGGAGCACAGAGCGTGATGCTGGGTAAGGGGATGGCCGAACGGTTGGGGCTGATGGCCCCTGAGAGGCACGTGGCGAAGGGGATGTTAGTCATGACAGCAGAGGGAGGGGAACCAAAGTGGATGCCGTGCACCCGGACCCCCATAGAGTTGACACTGCTGCCAGGAGGGGAGCATGAAACAAGGATCAGGATGAAGTGCGGAATCTCGGAGTCCGAGGACTTTGATCTGCTGATGGGGACGGAATTGGTGTTCGCTGTAGGCATGAGCATATGTACCTGGATGGAGAAGGTGGAGTTCCGAACGAGATACTGGAAGAAGGAGGGACCATTGGGGCAGCTGCCAGTGCAGTTTGTAAGGGTGGAGCCGAAGCGGGCCTATCAGGTCGGAGCAGGAGGGGCACAAAAGGGGCAGAGAGGAGCAGCAGAGACCAGGGAGGGGCCCAGGATGAAACTAATGGACAAGCCGGGGCAGTATAGCGATTGGCAGCAGCCCATCCGGCTAGTAGAGTTGTTCGGAGGAATCGGGGCAGGGCTGGCGGCAGCAGTGAGGAGTGGGATTGCGGTGCAGCAGTGGGTCTATGTGGAACTGGCACCACAGGTGAGAAGGATGGCTGAGCATCACGCGCGGAAGCTGAGAGCTGAGTTCCCGGATCTCCTGAGTGAGAAAGTAATTCAGGAAGCCATGAGCAGTACGGTGCACGATGTGAGTCAGATCACAGAGGAGCAGGTGGCCAGCTGGGGGCAGGTGGACCTGCTGGTGGCAGGATGGGAGTGTCAAGGGGTGTCATGGGCGGGAAAAGGGAAGGGAGGGGAGGACCCGAGGACGAAGCTGATGGACAACCTGTTCGACATCCTGGAGTGGCTGCAGGAGAGGCAGGGCAGAGTGGCCTACTTGCTGGAGAACCTGGATCTAGAAGGGGATTGTAGAGAGCCGATTCGGCTGGTGAGGGAGAGGATTGGCCGGCACGTGGGAAAAGGGATGAGCTGTGATGCAGCCAGGGCAGGGTCGTACGCTCACCGCCTCAGGATGTAGTGGCAAAACGTGGTTCCTGTGCTGGATCTGCAGGAGGAAGCAGAGGGGATGAGGAGGGCTACAGGGAGGAGGGTGGTGGACATCCTGGAGCCGGGACGGACTCCCGCGCCAGTTTGTCAAAGAAGTTACAGCAGGCACTACCCGTGCAACCAGGTGGGGCAGGACAGGAGGGCTCTGCCCACCTTGGTTGCTTTTGCAGAGGCAGCAGGCTACAGGTGGGAAAAGGGGGAGCCCGGACCCGGGCTGATATATGACCACAAGCGGGGACGGTGGGAGGAACCGACGGCATTAGAGAGGGAGCTGGCTATGGGATATGGAGAAAACGTGACGGCAGCACCAGGGGTGAGCGAGGAAGACAGGAGGAGGGCAATGGGGAATGCCATGGATGGCTACATGATGAGGTGGCTGGTGCAGAGGATGTGGCGAGAGATGGTCTTGGGTGGGGGGCAAGAGGCAGATAAGGGGGCGGCAGCAGCAGCCCCACAAGGAGCATGGACCTGCCAGGAGGAGGAGGGAGAGAAGTGGACAGTGGGGGAAGCGATGAGTGAAGAGGGAAGAGAAGCTATGCGGGGACTGCTGGCCAAGCACAGGAAGTGCTTTGCCTTCACACTGCAAGAACTGGGAAGGTGCAAAATGAAGGAGATGGAGCTGAAACTGAGCAGCACGGAGCCGGTGTTCCAACGGCGTAGGAAGATGCCGCACGGAGATGAAGAGATATGCAAGGAGAAGATTAAGGAGCTGTTGGCGGCCGGACTGATCCGGCGCTCAGAATCAGAATACGCCACACCAACAGTGGTGGCAGCGAGGAAGGACTTAACAGGAGAGATCCTGAGCAGGAGGATGTGCGGAGATTACCGAGCGCTCAACAAGATTACCGTGGCGGACAGGTACCCAATGCCGATGGCGGAAGAGATATTTGACAAGTTAGCAGAGGGGGTGTTCTTCACGACGCTGGACCTGCGGCAGGGGTTCAATCAGATAAAAATCAGGGAGGAGGACGTTAGGAAGACGGCATTTCACGGGCCGGATGGGCTGTACGAGTGGCTTTACATGCCATTCGGGCTGAGGAACGCATCAGCAGTGTTTCAGAGAGTCATGGATGCAGTGCTGAGGGACGTAGAATGTGCAGCGTGCTACATAGATGACGTGGTGATCTTCAGCACCTCCGAACAGCAGCACCTGCAAGATGTGGAGAAGACACTGGCAGCAATAGAAGCAGCGGGACTCACGTGTCACCCGAAGAAGTGTAGGTGGGGTGAGCAGACCGTTCAGTATCTGGGCTACGAGGTGAAGGGGGGGCAGATCGGGATCCAGCAAGCAAAGGTGGAGGTGCTGGATAGGCTGCGAGAACCAAAGGACAAGACAGGGCTGAGAGCGGTGTTGGGGTTTCTGAGTTACTACCGGCGATTTGTGCCCAACTTCAGCAGGCGGGCAGCGGTGTTGAACGGACTGTTAAGGGAGGACAGGACATGGGAGTGGGGGGAAGCGCAGAAGGGGGCATTGCAGGACCTGATGGCGGCGGTGAAAACGGCAACCGTCTTGCAGCTGCCAGCAGCGGACCAACCCTTCACCCTCTACACCGACTGGAGCAGCCAAGGGATGGGCGGGATACTCTGCCAGGAGGTGGAAGGGGATGAGAAGGTGGTGGCCTACGCGAGTAGGAGCTGCAACTCGGCGGAGGCACAGTACAGCTCGTACACAGGGGAGGGACTAGCGGCAGTATGGGCTGTGGGGCACTTCAGGGTCTACTTGCAGGGGCGGGAGTTCACCCTGGTGACGGACCACCAGCCACTGACATGGCTGATGACGACACCAGGGTTAACAGGCAGGAATGCACGATGGGCAATGAAGCTGCAGGAGTATGACTTCAAAATCAAGCACAGGCCAGGAAAAACCTTGCAGCATGTGGACGGCCTCTCCCGTAACCCTCCACCGCTAGAGCCAGCAGTGACCCTTGCGCTGCTGGCCAGACAGGTGGAGCTGAGCGGGGCCAGGAGAAGCAAGGGGCCGGCTGATATCTGGGAGGATGAGCAGGCTGTGAGATGGGTGAAGGGAGAGACAGGGGCAGACGAGGAGATGAGCGAGAGGGTGAGAGCAAGGGGGCACCACTACAGGTGGTACCAACAGCAGTTGCAGATACAGACCGAGGGTGGGTGGAAGCTGGTGCCGGCCCCAGGTGACAGGGAAGCAGTGATAAAGGAGGTGCACTCAAGGCTGGGGCACTTCGGGCATGAGAGGACAGTGCAGTTGCTGAAGACGGGCTGGTGGTGGGAGGGAATGCGCAGGCAGGTGCAGAAGTGGGTGGAGGGATGTGAGGCCTGCCAAAGGAGCCGAGCAAACCTGACCCAAGCCAAGGCCGAGCTGCAGTCCCTGCCCATCCGTGGGTTAGGCTTCAGATGGTCCTTGGACCTGGCGGGGGAACTGCCGCTGAGCCGCGGGGGGAAACGGTACATAGTGCTCATGGTGGAGCACGTGAGCAAGTGGCTGGAGGTGAGGGCTATCCCTAGCAAGAGCTCAAGACATGTGGCAGCAGCATTCAAGGAGCAAGTAATATGCAGATTTGGGGCGTGTGCAGAGGTGCTCACCGATCAAGGCACAGAGTTTCAAGGGGAGTTCAGGGAGCTGTTAGAGGAAGCGGGAATCACCCACAGGCGCA